AAAAAATATGGATGTAATGTAAATAAATATATCTATAAGCTTTTAATTTAAATAAACCTAAATATATACATATTATTTACTTCTGTCTACTAGTTCATCGTAAACTGGTATTATGCGTTTAAGGTGACTTATATTTAAACGTAGAATAATATAGGTATATTAACTAGTATCGACAAACAAAAGCGTTTAATTTATCTGTTTAAAAACGTTAACGTATAAAAATGGTAGATGATAAACGTTTAAAAAATCAACCAAGCCGAAATTTAAACGAGAATTATAAACGAAGAAAACATATTGTAATATAATGTAAATTTATACGAATTTAATTTAAATAAACCTAAACGTATTTTTAGGCCCACTGTATATAAATAGTTCATCGCAAACTAAAAATAGTCGTATATTGTTAACTATATTTAGACGTAGAAAAATTTACAATTATATACCATAGGATGTATATAAAAAACGTATAATATATCGTTTAAAACACGGTATGTATAATAATCGTAAACTGTAAACGTATACGGAATCAACCAATACCAAAATTAAACGAGTATTACGTATAAAATACGTTAGTTATACTAATGTGTGCTGCCTGGGTAAGCACACATTTTACAACTTATATATCGCTAGAAGGCGCTAAAATCAAAATTAACGCAATTATTAGTCATATTGTTGAATTTCCCATAAAATTATCTTTTCGATGATGTCATACTTTGTACTTTCTCTATTTAAATTGTATTAGTTAGAGTTATGGAAGGGAGGGGAATGGTACATGACAGGACGCTAAAATCTAAAGAAAAGTCATATTGCATATGTTCCCTATAAAATAACCTTCCTTACCTGTCGCTATTTAAATTGTATTGTAATTAGGGTGACTGAAGGGAAGGGAATGACGTATGGCAGTAAAGTATATATGATAAAAAGTGTCAACTTCGAATAAAAATCGACCTATTTTTTTCAAAAGATTCTGAAATACAACCTTTAATTAGCTACCCTTTACATCAATTGTGCGATAATTTTTTTCCTTCAAAATTTCAGTACCAGTACCAAAAAACTGCAGGACCTCCGTGTAATAGTCTGTTTTACTTTTTATAAAGAAGAACACTTTTACTGCCTAGATAGTAAAAGTTACATTTGACTCACTTGGGCTTGAATAATATTTAGAATTATGCGGCACCATAAATAACGCATTTAGGAAAAAAATAACGTTGTCCTCTGGCGACTATCCACAAACATTTCACTAACAATGTATTTTCGTTGCTAGAGTGTTTTCAGAAATACAGAGCTCCATGAATTCAAATCCTTGAAATAGCTATTTACAGCAGCTATTATTTATTTAGTTTAATGAAGATTGTCTCGGAATTAGACGAAAATCTCTACGCTCCGAGCCATTTTTTTAGGTTTGGAAACATGATAATCGCCGGGAGTCAAATCTGGGGAATATGGTGATTGGGACACTAATTCAAATCCCAGTTCATACATTTTAGCCATTGCAATCGCAGACTTGTGGACAGGTGCGTTCTCATGGTGGAAAGCAGTTTCTTTTTTACCAAATAAGGCCGTTTCTCTTCAGTTTTGTCGCTAAGCATAATATAGGCCATTTATTATTTTCCTCTTTTCTAAGTAGTCAACTGTAAACCCCACAAAAACAAGACTAGTAACCTTTTAAAGGAAACAAAAACCGTCAAATTAGACGGGATAGATGTAGAATGGAAAAAAGACGTCAAATATCTAGGTCTAAACTTGGACAAACAAACTTCTCTGGAACATACATCAGAACGAAGTAGTAAATAAGGCCACAAAATCCCTAATGGTATACAGAAACATTGCGAGTAAAAGATGGGGATGTAACCCGAACACACTGCAATGAATGTAAACAGCAATAATGAGACCAATCATCACTTACGGGGCTATAGCGTAGACTAACAACTAGTTTAGCTAGTACGAGAGCTAATATCTCAACAGTACAAAGACTAGCCTGTGTTAGCATCACCAATGAAAGGAGAACCTGTCCTACGGCCGCAAAGGAGGTGATCTTAAACCTCACCCCTTTACATTAAAATGATATAGAACGTGGCAAACAGGACACAATCTAGAATGATCTGAAACGGAGTATATTAACTTCAGGACCAAAGATTCTTGGGATATGCCCCAGGATGAAATGAAAAAGTAGTTTTGTAAAAAACTTCAAAACCTCAGAGCTGGGCTGCTAAAAAAAATGAAGCCAAGAATCCATCGTACTTGCAACCGAAGACATGCTATTCTGTGGTTATGCGGATGGTTCCAAAACCGTAGAAGGAACTAGAATAGGAGTGTATGGGCTTAGAAGCAGGCACTCTGAAAGTTTTGAAAAATGTCCAAGCATCTTCCAGGCGGAAATTCATGCCATTGAGAAGTGTATCCAGTTAATTATCGAGATAAACTATCGTAGGTAAGAGATTATCGTAATGTCCGATAGCCAAGCAGCCATCAAAGCGCTAAGCTCTCAACGTAATCAGCTCAAAAAATGGTCTGGAGATGGAATGGGCTAGGCAAAAAAATATAGTTACTCTGACTTGGGTCCCGGGACATAACGAGGTAAAAGATAACGAGATTGCAGATAGTCTCACTAGAAAAGGTGCTCAAACACCCTTTATGGGACCGGAGCCGTTCTGAGGTATTAGCAGTAACACAGGCGAGATTAAAAAAGAATTCGGCAGTAGAATAATCGATAATTGGGACTCAGACAGGCTAAGATACTTCTTGGTGAATATAACCAGAAGAGCTCGAAGCCTTTATCTGCCTGAGCAAAAACAGGCTAAGCATTGTTATAGGGATCCTTACTGGGCATTGCCGACTTAAAGGACATCTTAGTAAACTGAGAATAGTAGAAGAGCAGATTCTGTGAGGAGGACGAAATCTCCATTCACATTTTGACTGAATGTCTAGCACTCCAGAATCCAAGTACACTATGCTTAGGAGCATATTAAATAGAAGAGGGAGATTTACCTAACTTGAAGTCACTCCAAATCCTACAATTCCATGAGAAGATAGGATTGGAAGGGTCGTTATAGACATCGAGACATTTCCTTGCTGCGTTAGCGACAGAAGGGGGCACAATAGATAGCTCGCAGTGTATTAACACCCTATTCCCAACATAACAAGTAGTCTACTAAAATAATTGCATGATGATCCAAAACACAGTTGCCATAACCTTTTTTGTTGACAAAATCGATTTTGTCTTCTTTCGTGGCGGATAACATTTGTGTATCCATTGTTTGGACTGTTCTTTGGTTTCGGGAGTATAATAGTGAACCCAGGTTTCATCGACGATAATGAAACTCTGCAAAAGTCATTCAGTTTGTGCCGAATACGTGCCAAAAGGTTGCGAGAAACACTCAAATGATTTAGTTTTTACTCTGGTGTGAGCAATCGCGGCATCCAACCCATTTCCAATTCTTCAGGTAAAATTCTTTGTACACTTTCATTTGACTCTTTTTACTTGACAGTCATCTAATACGATACGGTGGACTTTTTCAATCAAATCCGGGGCAGTAGCAGTTTTTGGACATCCATTACGGGGTTCATAATTTGTGCTCACACGAGCACGCTTAAATTCAGCAACCCAGTTTTTAACCAATGAAAACGAAGGAATGACTTCCAATATTGTAGAATTCGGCTTTGCTTTGATTTTGATTGGTCTTAAGCCTTTCAAATGTAAATACTTTATCATTGCTCTCAACTCAGTTTTTCCATTGTTTATGCAAGAAATTTACTAACTTCCAAATCCCTTACTTCAAGCCCTTATTGTATTATTTAAATATTTTTGATAGTCAAAAAAAACATGCAATACTAACCTATAAAATTGTTTATTTTAATTGATTAATACTTGGAAAAATCGCGTGGAGCCTGGCGCAGTCGTAAACGACATAGGCAGGTTTGTAATTTCATCAAGAATTTTTTGAACGAATTGATCACTAGACCTTTCACCACTTCTTTGCCAGTGTTATGTAGACACTTTTTTTATTATTATTAGGGGAGGAAAAGTACTTTTACTCCCTAGGGAGGAAAAGTAAAAGTGACGTCATGGTATGTCATAAATGAAATAGCTTATACGGCATTGACGACCTAAACTATATTCTATTATATAAGTATGAATTTTACCGTTTATTTATAGAACACCCTGTATTTTGCAAAATAGTAAAAATCAGTAAATTGTTATTTTAATTTAACGATTTTTACATTAATAATTTGACTTCAATTCATAGATTCATCCGATTTTCGAATTTAGGACAGAAATATTATAGCATGCTATGGTCGATTGACAGATCAGTTTTAAAGTGTGTTACGCTGTAATATATCTACAAAATATAAAATAATATTTAAAAAATGAGTGATTCAAGCGAATTTAAAGATATAAATAATACACCACCGTATATTTTGGAACAGGTTAATGCAACAGTTCAATCTCTATTACCCCAAAAATCTAAAGAAAAATACGAAAAACAGTATTTACATTTCAAGCAATGGGCCGAAGAAAAGCATATTCGTACTTACTCAGAAAAATAATTACTCTACCTTAAAAATATGTAGGATGCAAGAATGAAAATAACATGCCTATAATTTATACTATACCTACTTCATAATTTTAGTTCTTTAATAAATTTTGTTTATTAGTTTCATAAATAAATTATTTAAAAATGACTTGTTATTTGAGGGAGGCGGAAAAATTATATGTATTACTTGGGAGTAAAGTGCCTTTTCCTCCCTTGGATGTTTACTGCCCTCCGCTTCGCGTCGGGCAGTAAACTTCATCCTGCGGGAGCAAAAGTGGCCCTTTCCTCCCTAGTAATACAAATAGCTATTCTTTAACGAAACAGACTTTTACAGGATAGTAAAATTGAATCGACTACATTTTATTTGAAATATTTTAATAAACATTTTTATCAAAAATTATCGCACTTGATTTACAAATTAAAAAATCTCTGATGATTTATTGTGGCTTTTGGTATAATTTTCAGTCGACCTATACCGAATGTTCCACCAAGAATACCGGACAGACCGCATCCAGGCAGACCCAATTAGTTTAAAATAAAAAAAGTTTTCTAGTCAGAAATTTAATTAACAAGTTTGCTCGGGGACCACACGGTGCAAAAAAAAACTGAGAAAGGTAGAACAGAAAAAGTTCGTCGGATTACGAGTACGGCTTTGTTACGTCAGGTCATGTTATGCCGGAGAGTGAGAATCAAAATACTGTGATTCAATATTTATTTTAAAATGTGCGCATGATTCTACGATGGATATTTGTTACAGGGTGATTTATTAACAATTTCACGTTGAATTATTTCATAAACAAATGTACATGTAACAATCGAGAATAATGTAAAATACTTGAGATGTTAAAATTATACATATGAACAATTAATTGTACTTATTTTTTTAAGAGGTATTATGTGTTTCAGAACTTTGTCCATTACCTCTGATGAAATCGGCTTCAAAAAAATTAATAAGGCGTCGTCTAAAGATATTTACAGTTTTTAAACAACTCAATTACTTTCTAAAATATCATCTTTGGAAATGTTAATTGAACCACTATGTATATAAATTTCAGTAATAATACTGGATGTGATATATCTTTGGCATTTATAAATGTTTGCCAATTAGAAGGCAGGAAGTGTATCACATATTATTTGTTGACCTTCTGGGTTCTTTTTTAGTTACATGATAATAAATTTTCACGTTTTTTTTCTTTTTTCAAAGTTGGAATTATACGTTAAATATTTTATTTCTCTAAAATATTGTGTTACATAATAGAATCACCCTGTACTAAAAAATCAATTATTGTAGAATCATCGATAGAGTACGTATTTTATATACACGAAGTATATATTTTATTTCGATTTTTTAAATTTTAGTTTTTTTTTTTTTTTTTTTAATCATGTGTATATAACGTACGAATATGTTATATTTTTGGTAAAATCAGAAACACTAGTCTTATGTTAATAGTATTATTAAAATGTAGGTCAATTTTGTCTACTTCGCGTTGTAAAATATAAATTTGATAATTATGTATATAATGTGTATTTGTATTAAATTTATTTTTAATAATTTTGTTTTTTGTTTTTTTTTGTTCCTAAAAACATTTTTATTTTTTGGTTTACATTTTGGAATGCACATATTTTTTTAGGCACATTAATGTACAGTCCACTAGTAGTACAGATTTATTCACAAAAATAGTGTACAAGTAAAAAAATGAGAGGTGTATTGCATTTTTTTCAAATGAAAATTTGTTACATGTTTCGAGAGGTAGCAAATAATATATTCACAATTGTTGTGTAGCTTTCAAGAGGGCCATTATATACCCTATAAAAATTGTATTAAAATGGCTTTTTTTTTCTTTGAGTTATTGTTTATTTATTTTATTTATTTACGGGCAAGCCCTTTTGAGAAATAAATTACAATTTTAAATTATAATTAAAATGTAGTGAAATATATATGGTGTTGCCATGCAAATGTATAATTCATTACATATAGACTAAAATAGGTAAAGAATTTAACAGATTTAAAAAGACAATAAGGTTGAATCAAATATTTACATTAAACATTTAAAATTAAAGATCAAAGCTCAGTACTAAGTAATTGCTTTATAAATTTAGGAAAGGGGGTGTTAATTATCTCAAGATCGTTATGAGTGTTGGCTAATCTTAACATTCTTGGAATACAGCTGCTAAAAGTATGGTTTAAACGATAAAAAGGTACATAAAATGTTTGTTGCTGTCGAGTTGAGCGGGTTGGAACATTGATAATTTTGAAACATAATGTCAGGTCTCTCTGTTTCCTCCTAGTTTCCAAAGAGGGGATGTTTAGAAAATTCTCTATCAAACCATACTTGCAGAGGACACCCAATTTATAGGCTATGTATCTAAGAAATTTATGTTGCACATTTTCTATGTTTCTGCTGTGCATTATGTAATGTGGAGACCAGACAGAAGAGCAATAATCTAGGTGAGGTCAGACTAGTGAACAATAAATGACTTCAATTGCAGTTGTGTCAGTAAAAGTATGTGTTAGCCTTTTGATAAAACCTAACATTTTCATAGATTTATGGATAGCCTTAGTTAGGTATGTGTTGACTGAAGCTTAAAGTGGGATCTAGAATAACTCCAAAGTCTTTAATTAATTAACAGACTCTAAGATATGACCATTTAAGTTATGATCAAAAGTAGTAGTTGGTACATGGCATCGATAAAAGCGCATGACATGGCACTTTATGGCATTCAAGTCCATGCTATTTAAGGAACACCAGTTTGATATATTATCAAGGTCAGACTGAAGCCAGAGGGCAACATAAATGGTTTTAATAATTAGGAAAACCCTTAAATCATCTGCGAACAATAGTGCTTTGCCATACTGAAAACAATGAATGATGTCATTTATAAGTTAAATAATAAGGGACTAAGGTGTGATACTTTAGGAACACCTGAGGTAACTTGAAATGAGTTAGAATAGTGAAGGTTTCCTCTAACCATTTGAGTTCTGTTCGTAAAATAACTACTAATCCATTGCAGTACGACCCCATTTATGCCATATTTATCGAGCTTTTAAAGTAAGAGAATGTTTGACCCTGTCAAAAGCTTTAGAAAAGTCAATGTATACAGAATCAATCTGGCAACCCTTCTCCAAAGCTTCCGACAGGAAGTCGACGTAGGTAACTAGATTTAATCCAGCACAAAAACCATATTGATGATCCGTTATGATGTCAGAGCAGTCATAGGTAATAACGTTTATTTTTTTAGGAGTAGAATAATTTACATTTTTTTATCATATATAAAACAAACAGTAATACAACTAAATAAACAGAACATATTGTTCAAATACGTCACACTAATTTAAAATGTTTCATCTGTGTAACCCATTAAGACCATAAAGGTTGAGCATGGGGTACACCGATGATTTAAAAATATTTTACATAATGTTCTCTACACTAGACCTATAAATATAGATAATGTTCACTACTCTAATTTGGTTTATTGCATTTATTTTATTTTGATATTAACATTTTTTTCTTATTTATTTTAAGTAATTTTATCTTTAAATAAATATCTAATGATTAAATACAAAAGTAATAGTATATTTTACGATTGCAGTTTATATCATTTTCATTTTTTAGACAGAACATACTGTTCAAATACAGAATACATAACAATCAATTTAAGAACTTTTATCAGTTTAATCCATTAAGACCATAAAGGTTGAGCATGGAGTACACGGATGACTTAAAAATATAATATAATACAATATACAATTTTTTCTACACTAGACTTAAAACTAGTATACATAATTCTCTCTGATTCTTTAGTTTGTTACATTTATTTTATTTTGATCTAAGTTTTTTTTTTTTTTAAATATTTATTTTGGTTTTTTTTTTATGTTCTCAAAAATCTTAGATGGGCGATTCTTGCATAACTGTGATTTTTTATGTCCAGTATTTTATTTATCGTTTAGCATAAGTTTTCCTCATCAAAAAGTTATTAATATTGTAAATTTAGAGGTATTTTACAACTGACATTATGAATTAGATCATAAACCTTCGCAAATTTTTTTTAAGCTGCACCTAAATATCCTCGAAATGTCAGTACCGTGGCATGTCCGATTCTTATTTTTAAAATTAAATATATAAATTTCTATCAAAATTAATTTTTTAATATAAAATACACCTCTTATAACTACAATCTAATGCATACTGCATTGAATTTTATTGCAATTTTATACCAATCTTTCGATTAGTAAAAAAAAATAATCATTTATATGTCAGTACCGTGAAAATAATGTCAGTACCGTGACATTAAACTTTTGAAATTTTGTCACAGTTTTCGTTGTGTTGTAGCTGTAGTAAAACCAGTTCACAGGCTTAGTTTTGTGAATAAATAGAAAATAAAAACGCGCAGAACAAACGTTTTAAAACATTTTAAATTGTAAAAATCACAGTTACACGAGAATCACCCAGATATAGTACGTCTGACTTGCTACCTGATTTGTATATTGGAATGACATAAGATAGTTTCCATTAATCTGGAAACTCACCCGTGGCGATAGATTTATTGAAAATATAGAAGAGAGGGTGAGACAAACGAAGCTGCAATTTCTGAGTAGGATGGGAAGAACCTTTATGTCAAGATTAGATTTCTCGTAAATGGTCGAAATATGAAGAGGAAACATTAAGTTTTGATGCAATATCGTTAAAATTTTAATTTAGATTAGTGTAAATTAACTGATGAAAAATGCTGCCATTGCCACAAAAAAGCAAAAGAGTCTTCAAGGTTTATAATATCAGGTATCGTGTTATTAGATCTTTTGGTACTTATAAAATTCCAAAAGGCTTTAACATTACTTTTAACAGAATGTTTGAAATTTGAACAGCATTCTCTAGATATAATCCTGCATTGACATCTTCTTAAATGACTGAATATTTCATATTTTTGGGGAATCCTGTTTAGCTTGTAAATCTTATGCGCAACCTTTTAAGCTATTGCATAGCTTTTATCGCGGGCTTTGAGTGCGGCGACCGAATCAAGAAATTCCGTAACGAAAATAAACCTAACACCCCCACTCCGACCGGCACAAGCGGTGCGGCGTTGAAAGCCGTGCATCGTCTAACGTCGTTTCAGTTCGGCAGACTTCGGCACGGTGTTTGTGTGCGTGCGACTAGACATATGCGTGTAGACTAGCTGCTAACTGATTTTACTTATCTCTTTTAGACACAATTTCGGAAAAATTGAATTAGAAAATGAATAATGATCCACAAGAATCCACAACCAAATATGGGACCACCATTGACGCGGTATTTTCCAGAAATGTATGTTTCTTATTTCAGTTACCATAAACCTATAGTTTCAATGATAAAAATTCCTGAATAACCTACATGTATTGTAATATAATAAAAATATTTTAAACAATATTAACTTCTCATTTATTCAATAAAAGAAAAAAAATTGTTTTCTTATCGGTCATCACGCTCAAAAAGTGTAATTTGAATTAATTTCAAAGAAAAAACTTGAATTAATATCAAAGACAAAAAATACTGCATAAATAAAATAAATAATTATAATTGCATAAGTTGATAAAAAATGCTATGCAATAGCTTTACCGCGGCAGTCCCCGAGTGCCACACGTATTTTTGTTGTCATGTCAAGAAATCTCATTTCATAAATTCCTTCGCGATGTTAGCTTTTAATTTATATTTTTAAATTTACGCTCCACTGACCAACAAGCGCTGCGAATGTTTTGATAGGTCCAGAGAGGCTGAGTAAGGAGTTGGCCATAAGCGGCAATCGCTGGTTGTATTCTGACAATAAAATGAGTTTAATTAAATTATCGTGTTTAAATATAATTGAAAATGAGTCTGATGAGTGATACAATCTCGATAAACAAATAAATAAACTTAACAGTAAAGACAAAAGAAAAAACTTTAAAATTATGAAAATGAAAGGAACTTACAGAACTTAATGTTATATGATTCATTTACAAACTAAATAAAAGTGGACCCAAATTGTAACCCTGCGGAACGCCAGATGAAATCCTGAGTGTATACGAATGGAAGTTCTTGATACGTACAATTTGAGATGTGTTAAGCAAGTAACTTTTTATACCAGTACAAGAAAATATCAAAACAATCCAATTTGAAAACAATAAATTATGATGGACCCGATTAATCATATGTAGAGTTATTATAGTGTTTTCATAATACTATTTAAATTGTTTCTAGTATTTTTTACAAATCTACCTCCTTGATAATCGCTAAAAGAGTAAATCACAAAAATAGATGTCATTGATTCTTCATAGTTAAATTATTTTTCACTTCAGTTCTAAGAAAAATGCATATTACAAAATTAATTGTGAAATTTGTATTTTATTAAAAAAATAGTATTACCAAATAATAACAAAAACAATTATAAAAGTGTTCATATATTTTGAAAATACTTCTTGAGCAAGTATCGTTTTTTGAATTGTATACCTTCCTTGTTGGGTCTTTTTTTTTTCTTCTTATTGATTAAGTGACCAGTTTTTATTTTCCCCCACATATAATTCCCACTGTAATTGACTTTATAATGGTAAGTATTCTCGCCTTTTTTGAGTTCTATTTTTATTTCTAAAATCTTTATAACGTCACCACTTTTTCGTTCTTCGTTATGTTTAAA